AAATTGGGAGGCTGCATATTAGAAGAAGCTTTTACGTGGATATCGAAATCAGGAAGATACTTAACTTACATATGCTGGAAAGAACGACAGTGAGCCAGAAGCTAAACCCTTTAAGGAATGAAACAGCAATCCAAGGAGCACAAAGGTGGCCTTACAGGCAGCACAGTCCAATGACTCCAGATTCAAAGCCGGACGACTTAGAGTAGGAAGGAGTGAGAGGGGAGTGGAAATGGCAATAAGGAGCAAAGAGCATACCTGCGCCTCTTTCAGCCTCTTTCAGCCCAGCCACCCTAGCAGCTGGGAGCATAAACAGTCATTATTTGAAAGAATGGCAGTGGAAACAGGGAATCTTCCTCTAAGCACACGCATCGTCTCTTGTTACCGCTAATGGTGGTCAGCAAATGAGTTTTCTCATTAAGATTACACAAGAGCTGTAAATAGTTGTACACGGTGTTCTATATATACAAGAGCCAAGAACTTGAGTTCACAACCGAAAATGAAAGATGTTACTGAATCTAAATAACTATAAGGTATATATTTGTAGACAAAATTGAAATCAACACTAAGGTTACAGCTGTTTCAAAATGTCACAGATATTATTAAAATGGAGGGGGGAAAAAAAAGATACCAAAAAAACAAAAAGTATTTAACAGTATAATACAGAAAGTTACATAGAATTCCCCAGTTACCTTCACAGATCAGATAATCATCTCTTACAAAAGTAAACTAGACTCAGGAAGCTTACTTTAAGAGTATACATATAAACATAAATCAATAATATGAAGAACAGAATGCTGAAAAATAAAAAATCCTGCTGCAATCATCACAGGCACGTAAAGAGACTTAGGTTCAGCTTGTGGTTCGTAAGTCAAATGCAAAGAAACAGCACCATCTACTGGAAATTTAGAAATATTCTCACACTTCTTGGAAAATGTAACTATATAACAAATAAATTTCCCCTAATCTGGCTAAGAGGATAAATCTAAATATTAAAGAACAGGATCTAACATGTAATCAAAAAGTTAAATTAGGAATTACTAGTTTCTGGCTTGTAATTTCTGATCTCAAATCACTCACCATTTTGACAAAATTCATATGAGGATTTTATTCGAGATAAAAAATATTCTCAACCAATGAAGAAGAAATTGTGAAATTAAATACATTTTTAAAGTAACTCACAGATATGGTACTCTTGAATGCTGCTTGTATAACCATATATTGCAGAATATCCAAATATTACGATCATGACAACATCTCTACTGTCCAGTTCCATAATGTGTGCGGAATGTCCCTCCACAGCATACTGCTGACCATGTCCAAGGACAGTAGGAGTCTTTGTACTCCACGACTGACTATGGATATTAAAAATCCATAACTCATCTGAAACATTGCCATCATTTGTTTCAATTCTACCTCCATACATAAAGATATTTTCCTGAAAGTTAAAATATATATATTAATACACAAAATAGCTCCACAACAAAAACTAAATTTAAATATTAAATTTTAATAATTGTTCATAACATGCTTATGTTAAATTCAATTAATTTGTCAAATTCAATTAATACATGAGTATTGATAATTAATACTTTTATATACCAACACAAAAAAATCCATGTCTATAAAAAAGATATTTCAAGATATTTTATTTAAAACAGCTATCATACATAGTCAATAATCATATTTGTAATGATCTATAGAAATAGAACAATGAACTAATGGTGGAAGAATAAAAAATGAAATAAAGTATTGAAGAAAAACTTTAAGGATGAGGCAGTTCTACAATCAAGATCTACAACCAAGAATAATTTACTCTTCACATAAAAAGAAAAGTAACAGACTGAGTTTCAGATTAATATCACTCTAAGGCCGTCTTAATCTTTGAATGATCTTAGTCCCTGGTTGTTACATTAGAATTTCTATTTGTACCATTTTGTGTTACTCTTACTTAGTCAGTCACTATCTTCACTAAGTTCCATTACCGCATTTGTGCATTATGTACCGAATATTCTTATTTCCACTTTTTATGGCTATAAGCAGCACGTCTTTGGTAAATCTTTATAGCATTTATAAGTTGTGCAAATAATTTCAATCACATGATTGAAATAAATGATACATAAATGATATAAGGCATCACTATTTGTTTCAACTGAGAATGGAAAGGAACTTCCACAACCTGATAAAGGTTATCTAAGAAAAACCCCCAGGTAACATCGTATCAAATGGTGAAAGACTGGATGCTTCCCCCCAAGATCAGGAATAAGACAAGGACATCTACTCTCACCACCTCTATTCAACATCACACTGTAGGTTCCAGCCAAAGCAATCAGGCAAAGAAAAATGAAAAGCAGCCATATAGGGAAGAAAGAAGTAAAATATCTCTATTTGTAGATGACATAATCATGTATATAGAAAATCTTAAGAAATCTACATGCAAAAAAAATTAGACCTAATAAACGGATTCAGCAAAGTTGCAGGATAAAAAATCAATATACAAAATCAATTTTACTCTATACACTCACAATGAACAATCCAAAAATGAAATTAAGAACACAAATCCAATCATATAGCATCAAGATGAATAAAATACTTAGGAATAAATTTAACAAAAGTGCAAAACACATACTCCAAATGATAAAACATTCTGGAAAGAAATAAAATATAAATAAATGCAAAGACATCCCATGTTCATGGGTTGGAAGACTTCTTACTATTAAGATGAATATATTCACTAAATTGTTCTATAGGTTCAACACAATTCCTATCAGAATCCTACACGACACGTAGACAGAAAATGTCAAACTGATTCTAAAATGCATATGTAATTTCAAGGGACCCAGAATATTCAAACAATCTTAAAAATACATTTGGAAGGCTCACACTTGCCAATTTCAAAACTTACTACAAAGCAATAGTAATTAAGACAGTGGAACCGAGATAAGGACAGACATATAAATCAGTGGAATATAAAAGTCTAGATAGAAATCTATATATCTAAGGTGACTGATTTTCAACAAGAGAGCCAGGACCATTAAAAACAGAAAGACTCATCTTTTCAATAAATAGTGCTATAACAAATGCATACCAAAAAAACCAAAGTCACTGCCATCAAGTCAATTCTGACTCATAGTGACCCTCATGAGGTTTCCAAGGCTATAAATCCTTATGGAAACAGACTGCCCCATTTTTCTTCCATGGAGCAGCTGGTGGCATCATATGCAAAAAAATTAAGTTGCTGCTCACCGTATAAAAAATTAACTCAAAAGGATCAAAGACCTAAATGTAAGAACCAAATTTATAAAAAGTCTTCTAAAAATAAATAAACAAATAAGGAGACATCTTCTTTTACCTTGAATTTGACAACGGATTCTTAGACATGACAACAAAAGCACAAGCAATGAAGGAAAACATAAATACACTCGACTTCATCACAACTGAAAACTTTTGTCTTTTGTGTGTAAAATGACACCAGCAAGAAACTGAAATGTAAATCCTCAGAAAGGAAGAAGATACATGCAAATCCTGTATCCGTTAAGGGGGTTGTACCTAGAATATATATATTAAAAAAAATCCTACAACTCAATAATAAACAGGCAAATAACCCAATTTCAAAAATGGACAAAAGCTCTGGATAAACATTTCTCCAAAGAAGATACCCTGACAGTCCCTGCACTACAAACAAGATCCATTCCTAAGTGTGTGTTTAAGAACTTGTAGGGCAGTCAGAACAGGTGCATACGATTCTTACTTAGCCTTACTTGCCTTACTTCAGTGCAAGAAAGGAGCTCTGATGGTGTAGTGGTTAAAGCATCTGATTGCTAACCAAAAGGCCGGTGGTTTTCTCCATGGGAGAAAGATGAGGCAGTCAACTTCAATAACAATTTACAGCCTTGTAAACTCTGTTGTTGTTATGTGCCACTGAGTCGGACCCAACTCATAGCGACCCCTCCTTGGGTTCCCGAGGCAGTATCGCAGTATCACTACGGAAGGAAGCAGATTGCCCAACCTTCCTTCCGGGATACTCTATGGGACTAAAAAAGGTTACTGTGACTCAGAATCAACTCTATGGCAGTGGGTACTGGTTAGTGCAAGAAAACCTGGAAGGACTTTCAGTGATTTAAAAACCACACACACAGCAAGTGAAGGTGACTGTGATAAAAAAAAAATTTGTTGTGAGTAGGGGTTGGTTTAATCGTTTCAAAGTGAGGACAAATTTATGTAACACTAATAGGTGAGCAGGGGTTGTCCATAAGGTGGACGTTCATGACCTAGAGACTGTCCATACAAACGGCCAAGAAGCACATGAAAAGATGCTCAGCATCATCAGTCATTGTTGTTGTTGTTGTTATGTGCCACTGAGTCAGACTTGATTCATAGCGACCCGTCCTTGGGTTTCCGAGGCAGTATCACTACGAAGTAGATTGCCCCATCTTCCTTCCGAGGAGTTGCTGGTGGGTTTGAACTGCCAGCCCTCTGGTTAGCAGTCCAGTGCCTTAGGCATCAGTCATTAGGCAAATGCAAATCAAAACCACAATGAGCTACCACTTGGCACCCACTATAAAGGCTATAACCAGAGTCACATAATAGCAAGTGTTGATGTGGCTATACTCTCATGCACTGTGGAACAAGGTGTGAAATGGTGCAGCCACACTGACAGAACACCCCAGCAGTTTCTCAAAAAGTTACACACAGAGTTACCATTTGACCTAGCAATTCTACTCCTGGGCATATACTCGAAAGAAATGAAAACATGTTCACACAAAAGCTTGTAAAACATGAATGCTCATAATAGCAAAATTCATAACAGCTAAAAGGTGAAAACAACCCAACTGTCCATCATCTGATGGACAAACAAACTGTGGTATGTACATACACTGGAGCATTATTCAGTCATCAAAAGCAATGAAGTTCTGAAAAACGCTACAACGTGGATAAATCTTGAAAACATTATGCTAAGTGAAAGAAGTCCACGGCAAAGGACTATGTATTGTATGATTCCATTTATCTGAAATATCCAGAACATAAAATTCAATACAGACAATAAAATGGATGATTGCTTAGGGTCAAGAATGAGGGTGCTAACGGATGATAGGGTTTCCTAAAATTGTACAGGGTTTCCTTTTGGGGTGATAAAAATCTCCTATAGTAGATTTTGGTGATGGCTGCATAACTCTGTGAATATACTTAAAAAAAA